GGGGGAAAAAAAAAAAAACCCATCCTAATAATACCTCCACAAGAAACCAAGCATCAGTCAAAAAACAATTAAAGCTGTAACAGCTCCAAAGTGGGAAGGCTGTAAGTCAAATCCCAGTGGGACAGATGCATCATTACCTTAAAAGAAAAATTCCCTGTAAAGTTAATGGGGCTCTGCAGGCTCCTTCAAGGCAAGAACACCATTCTGGGGACATGGCTGAGCCACCTTTCTGAGGCAAACGTGACACCAATACCTTCCCAGGGAAGATGGTTCTGCAGCACTGCAGTGGTTGGGTTTTATTCCAAAAGGATTAATTGCTTCCTCCAGGCCGTGGATTAAGCAACAGCAGTCAGGGAACTTTTAATATCCAGTGCTGTGTTTTTATCACATCTTCCCATTCAAAAGGCAAAACTGCCTCCTCTACCTTTAAACTAAACCCTCTATTTTGAGGTGAAAAACAAGGAAAAGACAATTTTCAGAGGCAGACGCGCCTCAACTGCCAAGGCAAGGAAGGGAAGGAATTAAATCCAGTGAATATGCAAGAACCGATTTCTCGACAAGAAAGGTTTCAAAAACCCAACGTGAAAATTTTACGCCGTTTTCCAGCCATTTCAGACTCACTGGAGGAGAGAGTACAGCAAATGCAAACCATGTGTGCTGAAGTGCTGGGGGGGGTTTGCTCAAAAAGCAAGCAGGGCTATATTTTTGTTTAGACTGATTTATACCGTTTAAGCAGATCCGGTTTCTTGAAGACATTCAGCAAACAGCAGGAATGTTTTTCATGTCAAGTCACTCCAGCAATAACAAATAGCTCACATATTCTGCTGTTTAGGAAAACTGGAGAGGGGCCTTGCAGCGGTGGCTCAGAGCCAGGTGGATGGATCTGTTACGTTTCTGAGCCCCCTCAGCCATCCACATCCACCCTGGGACCGACTGAGCTGGAAAATTCTGCCCCCCCGAAATAATGGTTGGGATTGTAGGAACTGGAGCCCGGCCAACGGCAGCGACTCTTTGATGGGAACGGACCAATGTCAGCAGCAAGAGGAAATCCACAACTGCATCAGCCCAGGGGGAAGGGCACGTGCTCCAATCTCTCCCCAAGCATCCCAACTGGGGGGAGTCTGTGCAGAGCTTAACTCTTTCCACACGAGACATTTCAGCTGCATTTCCACTCCCTGCTTGTTCAGGGAAACAGGCCTTGCTTTACTGTGGAGGCACAAACAGACCTTTTGTCGCTGTTGCTCAGTTTAGTTTTCGAATCTCACCTTTTTAAGGCCTCCAAACCCAACATTTTGGCACAGGACCATTTTGCTCTTTCGATAGAGGCTGTTTCTTGGCTGTGCCAATAATAGCACAGCCACAGTTTCCATTCATGCAGATCATCCCTGAGCTGACCTGGATCTTTTGTGTTATTGCAGGTTTGGGCATCTTTCCTTTTAAGCTCAAGTTCTATTAATTTCCAGTACTTTTTAAGCATAACTTATTTTAGAACTAAATGAATGGGCTCTCCCTAAACAACCTTCAGTTGCTCTTCTAAGGGATATCCCAGAATCTCCTACATTGGAAGGGACCTACAAAGATCATCAACCCAACTCTTGGCCCTGCACAAGACACCTCAAGAATCCAACCTGAAAGCATAAGAAGGATGACAACGCTGCACCAGTCAGAGAGCAAAAAAACCAGCTGTCAGTTCAGGGAAGGAGTGAGTGGAAGCTGTTCCTGAAAAGCTAAAGGAGTAGCTGGGTGCTGGCACCACAAAGCACAGCCTCGAGTTCAAACCAACAACTTCACTTCGCCTTCCACTTCTGATCCAGCCAAGAGAGCGAGACTGGATTTAGGGATGGCAGAAATCACCTGGCTCTGGATAAAGTGATCAGCCAGAGGGGCAGAAAGCTCAAGGCTCACCAAACGTCCGCTTTCCTGCCGTAGCCTTCCCCGCTGATCACCTCCGGGCTCATCCAGTACGGGGTGCCGGTGACGGAGCGGATGCCTGTCCCAGACATGCAGATTGTCTGCAGCCGTTTGCTGGCCCCAAAGTCCCCCAGCTTCACATTCCCAGCAGAGTCCCGGAGAATATTGGCTCCTGCACAGAAACAAATCCAAAGAGCAGCTGTTTCCACGCGATCCAAGCTGTTGGATCCGCAGATCCAGAGCCGATATCGGACCCGAGACACCCCTGGCTCATGGGATGGCTCCTTCCCTGTTAAGCCTCAGGTGACCTGCTGAATTCTTTAAATTAATTCTTTAATTCAGGCTGTAAGACAAGCCAATTGCTAATGGTTGTAAATGGGAAAAAAACTTCAGGGAAAAAAAACTTCAGGGAAAAACACAAGGAAGTGAAAGGGGGGAGGGAAATGAAAGCTGAGTCAGCACCAGCATTGTTACAGTGCCTGTAAACAGCTCAGGCAGCCTTGCAGGGCCCCCAGGCCACAGGCTGAGAGAGAACTGAGCTGTGGAGAGAAGGATTTTATTGGGATGCTGCTCTGGTGAGTGCAAGCACTGCTCTCTGGTCAGCTGGGTAACAGATGTAGCCAATTAAACCACTTTGAACTCCTACAGTAAACAAGTCAATCTTCACTTTACTTGGTCAGAGGTCCTGGACATGAAGCACCAGGGAAAAAAGAAAACTTAAGAGCTTAGGTTTGTATGTGGACACAAACTGAGGTTTAGACACCAAAACCAATTCTTCCTTTCAAAGCTACTACGAGATCAAGAACCCCATGTTGGCATTATCTGGTGTGTGCCTACATGAAACACCCCCCTGCTCTCAAATCAGCACTTGTGCTGGGAGAGTTTCATCACTTCACTTGCCCACTGTCCATTCATCCCTGAAGGAAAGGTAACAAGCTGGCTTAAGGTGGGTGCAAACCAGTGAATAACCCACCCAGGCAGGAGATAATTTGGCAAAGAGCCCCACGTGAGCAGCACACAAGGTGTTACTCAAGAACCAGCAGCTCGTTTCTCCTTAGAAGGGATGCAATGAAGATTTACAGGCAGGAACAAGGGTCTCTCTAGGGCACAGGAAAGTCTGTGTGGTGTCTGACAGTCACTCCTAAGGAGACTGGCTGGCTCCATGGGGTTATACTGGGAAGAGGAAGATGAAGAACTAATCAGAGGCTCTACGTGGAAGATTGGAGACCCTTGGTCTCTTTACAGAAATTCTTTAGCACGTGGCACATCTCAATCAGCAGCTGATCTCACCCTTTATGTCCCTGTGCACAATCATGTTGCTGTGAAGGTAGGAGACCCCCTCGAGGATCTGCCGAGTGTATTTGCGGGTGACGTTTTCCGTGAGGGCTCCGTACGCCTTCAGCTGGTCCTTCACCGACCCCTGCACCGAAAGAAAACAGAAAACGTTGGCAAAGAAATGACAGAACCACTGATCTTTGCAGCCTCCATTCAATTCCCACGAGCCAGGAGTGCGTTATACACCCAACCAGCCCAGGAATGAGTTCTGGCCTCTTCTAAAGCCCTTTTAGAGAACGGCAAGGACAGGTTTTAATGGCAAAAATAGCTCAAGGAGGTTCTGTCTGCCTCCTCCATGCTGGTTGTGAAGACAAGGAATAAAACAGTTCAGCAGACTGACTCAGATAAAAAAGTCTCCCTTTTTGCAAGGGTAAGTTTTAGCCTCATTTGCTGGACCACGACTGTAATTCAGTTATTATGATTTACAAGCTGGCCCAAGTCCTCTGAAGTACTTTGGTAGGACAAATTTAGACTGAACAAAAGAACTGGCTTTAGTGACTAATAAAGAGAATGTATTTCAAGTACAAGACACTGAAGGGGGAAAAAAAAAAACCCAAAGAGGTTGCTTGGGCATAAATAAAATTAAAGTGGTGGCATTACAACCCAGGATGAGAAGGGGCAGCCCTGAGAGGGTTTAAGGTGGATGACACAGTCAGGGTGACCACAGCAACTAATAAACCAACTAGCAAACCCACCAATCTCCCTCTGTGATCCACGAGTGTGCTGTTTGTGCCAGCTCTTACCCCTGGCATGTACTCCATGAAGATGGTCAAGGTCTTCTCTGCCCTGTCCCGTAAGCAGCCGTAATACTGGACGATGCGCTCGTGCTGGAGGTTCTTCAGCAGCTGAATTTCACACTCCAGGGCACTCACTTCCTGTGGATGTTGCAGGAGAAAATAAGGTTGCAGCCCCAGGAAATAGTCCATCCTAATAAATTCCTCATGCCACTGGCAGGGTGAAACTACTACTGCCCTGAAAAGTCTGATCCATGGCATTGGAAAAGGCAAACAATGCCAGTGGTTCACATCAATCCTCGCTGTAGCATCAGCAGGTAAGGACAGGTGGAGAACAAAAGCAGTATCATAGATGGATACAGCACCAGAAAAACTTTGTTCCTTGCCTTGATTTTCTCCACCCACAACACAGCTAGAACCTCACTTCTCACACAGCAATTTCAGATGGAATCACAGATGTTTGTTGCCCAGGAAAAGTCTCAAGTTCTTGCTGAATCTTCCTGGATCACTTATTCCAGCTCAAAGTGAATTTGTTCAATAGTGGGAAACCGGTACATTGTTAAAACACAAGCAAGAACCCAACAGCCATTCCAGCTATCCCGTAACATCAAGGTGCCCTTTCCCATCTCCACTTTTTTCTAATGGGTTGTCACATCCCTCCTCTTGATTAATTTACACACCACAGCTCAATTTGTTCTAAGGACAGGGAGAATTCAGAAGTGAAAACCGATAATTCACACACAGGATACAGGGTATAGCATACAGACCCAGAAATGGGTTTTGCAAGTGCAAGCAGCTTTTTTTGCTCAAAAAAAGAAAAAAAAAAACACAACTCCTACTCTTTCTGGGTTTAGTTTCATTCACATCCATGTCTAACCAGGAACACAGGGCAGTATAGTATTCCTCAAGTAACCTGGCAACAAACCAAAAAAGCTGAGAAGGGAGAGCCAAAAAATGAAGGCAGAAAATGGATTTTAGTTTCAGGCTGAAGTTAAAAACACCAAAAAAATAACTTTTTTAAATGGCTCCCATTCCTCTCCACGCGACTCGAAACCCCGGCAGGAACTAAAAGAAGAACTCCAGCTTTTAAGGACAAACAGATAAGGGCATTTTGCAGGATTTTAGGGGCAGAGAGGAGCGTTACCTTGCTCGTTTCAGGGCTCTCTGGATCGAACTGGACCTGCTTGGCTGCGAGTTCCCTGCCCGTGTCCACGTCGTAGCACAAATACACGCGGCCGAAGGCGCCCTGGCCCAGCAGCTTCCCCCGGCGCCAGTTTATGGGAGCACTTGGAGCTAAAAGAGAACACCAGGTGGATTCTACTAACCCACTACTTTAAGAGGTGGTGCAGCACTTAAAGAGCATCTTCCAACTGCTGGATCAGCCTTGCTAAATCAATCCCACCCAGCCGGGAATGGCTTTACTGGGACAACTTCTGAGGTCTTTGCCAAGGCGGCTCGAGGTTCCTTCTCCTGGGGGGAGGATTTCACTGCAAAGCTCCCTCTACAGCAGAAAAATTCCAAGTCATAATTCCCTACTAGACAGCGATAAAGCTGGGGCTGTAAGGTTAGCACAGTCTGTGCACCTTTTTATTCCAATAAAAATACACACTAGACCCAGCTAAAGCAGCCACCTCCAACACCCCAGCAGGAGGTTACATCCACAGGGAATTAGGACTCCTCACATTCCAGGGGCAGCAGTCTCCTGACCCCAGAGATCAATACCTGAGGCCAGTTTTCCAGACTGCCCCAAATCCCCAAAGCACATCACTCAAAAACCGGTGCTTCAGCTCCGACTTTGAGAGCCACACCCCCAAGTCTCCTGCAGGGCAAAGCATCCAATTCTGTTGTATCTCACCAGAAACTCTAAAAAACAGAGACAGGAACCAGCCATCTGGACAGTGTGAAAATACAGAAGAGCTGAGAGATTGGCTTTGCCGCGTCTAATTTAATCAGATTTCCTGCCAGTCGGTATTTCAGCGTTGCAAGCTCACTCCTCATTTTGATCTCTAAATTATTGGATGGGGTATCTGAAGTTCATTAGTAATGACTTATGTCCCATTTCTTTTTTTTTTTTTACAATAGAAATTTGTCCAAAAAAACCAACTCGGGGATGCTATTAAAACAGAAGTAAATCTTTCTACTAAAGAGCAAGTGAAGGCCCTCAACTAGTAAAGTAAGTGTAACCCACAAGCCTGACTACAAATGTTAATGTATCAAGAAAATAAACAAGCCTGTCTGGCTGTTTTAAGAGCCAGAATTGATTGACTGTGGGGTTTTTTGAGACTAAATCTCAAAAGATTGAATTTAGGGTTTTTTTTACTTCTGAGCTGAATTTCTGAGGCTTTCTAAAGCAAAAACCAGCTCCCAGTGGAGGCAAAAAACAGAGAAAAAAAAGAAGACGCGTCTTGCAGGTGAGACAAATTGGCCTCAAAACCGCAGCCACGTAACGATGTGGGGCTCTTAACAGCTTGTTAAAACCAAACCACGGTCATCTGCAGGGTCTGGAGCTGGCTGGGGGGCGGTCAGGGAGCGCTCACATTTGGTGGGGATGTTCCTCTCCTGCACCCCCAGGGCGTTCTCGCTGTCGGCGCTGCGCAGGCGGCCCCGCGGGTCCAGGTACTGCAGGGCCAGGCCCAGGTTCTCCCCGTTGGTGCTCAGGGAGCGGCTGGAAGGGACCAAGGTGAACAGATTCCCCTGGTGACGTCGTATCCTGGGAAACGTCCTCCGGCCTGAGGGGGGAAAAAAAAGTGTCTTATTTGCTTGCAAGTGGTTGGGGGTTGGAGAGCAAGGAGAAGGGATTAAAAACCCGTGAGAAGCAAAAATGGAACAGTTCGGGCTCGACGCTGCCTGAGTTCAGTTCGGCTCTGGATCATTTGTGATGCCCTCAGTGCTGGGGTGCAAGATGTGAACTTGCCTCCCAAAGCACAAATGGGGTTTACAGGCAACCACACGAGCTCTGAGGATGGTTAATGACGACTCCCAGAATGACTTTCTAGACAACGTGCCCGGATTTGGAGATAAAAGCCGTAAACAGAGATTATGGGGACTTGCACACCTCATGAAATTTTGAGAGGGTAATTTGCATAAAGCCATCTGAGGAGCAGAGATTTAATTCTTTAGGTGCCTGCTATATTTAAAAGACCCAGAAACAAGTCTGGGTTGTGAATTAGCAAAGCAGAATGAATCCCTGAGGTAGGAACCTGTTATATATGGTCAAGGAAACAACTCTATCCACTGCCCCAGCCCAGCCTGGATACTCCCAGAAAGCACAAAGTCAACAGAGAATTACAAAGTAAACCAAGAATTACAAACAACCAGAGAGTGTCTCCATGAAAATGAGGCACCACGCACAGCACCATCAACTCCAGCACTCACTGCAAGGCCCAGGGCTCTTCCAGGTTCTTCAGCTGGGAATTACAGGCTGTCATTGCCTCACCTTGTATTTCCAGCCTGGAATGGGAGGTCTGAGAACAAGAACTCACCGTCGTTGTAGTCCTTGTGCTGCATGGAGACGTTGTAGCGCCGGGGGTAAGTCCCACCTTTCCCTGCCTTGTCGTAGATCTGATTCTCCCGGTCTGCAGGGAGAGGCAAAAAGACGCAAGGTAAGTTTACCCTCCCATGACAACACTTTCCTGTAGCAGCAGGGTTTTAGGAAGAGGTAACAAACAACTCTATGGCTTTTCAGAGCAACCCTTCCAGCAGGGACGTACCTGAGAACTCCTGCCTGTTATCGGGAAAGCTTTGGGCCCTCGACATCCGGGACTTCCGAAAAGAGGGACTGGTAAAGAAAGAAGGCAAGAGTTAGTCTGGCATTAAAGCACACATTACCTGCAGGAATTAGCTTGGAGGAATCCTAAAAACATGCTGAAGCCCAGTGTTACAGGTGCTGGGAAGCCACCTTTGCTATTCAAGTTAACAGAACCTCTGGTTGCCCATCAAGCCACACCAACAGCACAGAAAGGGAAGAAAAAGACCCCGAGCGTCAGAGTGTGACAAACTCTTCATCATCTCCCTTATTTACCTCTGGAATTAACTTTGTACCTTGCAGGACATAGCAATCTAGTGCGATGATCTATTTGGGGTATTTTTTTGTCACTTTATTTTTTAAGTGAACCACTAAAGCCTTGTCTAAAAGAGATTTAAACCCCCTGCAGCCAGATGTTCTCAGAGTGTTGGCTCCACACAGACTGCTCACTTTAGAACTCTGTATTTAACACAGAAAGCCACTGAAGCACCAGTTTTGTTGGTCTGTGGTTTTGCCAGAAAATAAAACAGCCTTAAGACAGACTTAATTCTCTTTACAAAATATATTGGGATGTAGGTAGGAAATAAGTTCTTATTTTCTCCAAGAAAATTTATGAGATGGAAAACAAGACTTTTGCCTGAGTACAACTGGCATTTTTAATCTGAGCACACACATCCCCTACCAGTCTGTACATTTGTACCTGTCTGCTGACCTGTCCAAGGACTGGCAGCTTCCTGACACCGAGTTCTCAGCACTGCTTAGAGGGTCCAGCATCTGCAAGACAGAGGAAATCACAAGACAACATCAGTGCAGTCCAGTGAAAGAGCAAGAGGAGCCCACTACTGCTTGTCTGGAGGAAGTCCAGCTGAAGAGGGGAGTCTAAGCCCTTTTAAATGCACATTTTTCTCTTATCTCCCAATGGAAATTGAGTTCATATCAAATCTGAGACACTGCTTTAGGTGTTGGAAGGACTCTGCTGTGACAAATGGAAGTTTAGGTCAGCCTTGTGCTGCATTTTGATCCCAAGTGCCTCCAGGAACAGCCTGTGCTGCTGCATCGCTGCCTCCACCTGCGAGTCGCCCTTTGGCCTCACTTCCTACTTTTGTGAATGGAGAGCAGAGTTTCAAAAGCAAGAGGGTCACACAAAGCTGGCAATAGGAAACCTGAGCACACATGTGTGACAGCCCCAGAACTGCTCAGTCAGTGGAGAGGCAATGCCCAGCACACACAGCAACTGCTGCTGGCAACCCCAAGGCTCTGGATTTACACAGCTGCAATCTGAGGCAGTTTAAACGCACAAAGCAGAATCCCCGATTGGTTTGGGTTGGAAAGGACCTCGGGGATCATCCACTTCCACCCCCTGCCATGGGCAAGGACACCTTCCACTAGTGCAGGTTGCTCAGAGCTCCATCCAAGGTGGATTTGAACACTTCCAGGGACGGGGCAGCCACAACTCTCAGGGCAATTTGTTACAACGCGCAGATGCTGGTGAATATCGGGGAGTGAAAAAGAGGGCCTCGATCCCAGCTTAACAAGCTAGACTTGCTTTTTTCCCCCCCTCAACTCATGCTCATACTCACACACTGCTCGTTGGTCTCTGGGATGAACTCCCCCTCGCTGTTGATGCTGGTGTAGGAGCCCTGGCGAGCGATTCGCTGCTGCCTCTCGGGAACGTAGCCCGGAGGGGGGGAACTCCTGCCCGTGTTCTGGGAGCCTGGGGGAAGGAGATTCCTTAAGATTCACACTGCTGGAATGAGACTGCACGTGCACACACACAGAATCTGAGTATCTCCTCTAACAGCAGGTCTCCAACTCCATGACCACGGTAGGTCTGGAGCGATCCTGAGAGCCTGGACAGATGTGGAACCAGGAGGGGTCACATCAAAAACAAACTGGTTAGATGAGCACCTCTACTGACAGTTCAGACACTACATGATTACTGGTGAAGTTCCTAACCTCTTCTGCTCCACTTTCTGAGCGTGACTTCAGTAGCTCAGGGAAGGCAGAGGATTCCAGGAATCCCTGGCTTTTGAGCGTGAACTTCATTGCCAATCTCCACTAAACAAAGCACTTGCCAGGGCAACCAACCTTTCTGTCTTTGTTCTAAGTTTGCATCAGTCAGGATAATTTCTGCTGAGTGACAGCACGCTCCTGCTAGTCAGCATCAGCTGAGCAATTTCAGTGGCAGGTGGGAGCGCTGTTACCTTTGGAAATAACCCCAAAATTTCTGGTTTACTGCGAGAAAAATCAAAGTGTGCGGTCGGTTTGGGCGAAACCACGTGGAGGTCAACTCTGCAATTCCTGTTAATTGGGTAACTGGATGGACAGAGTATGTTTAGGGGCCAAAGGATGAGGAAAACAGTTTAATCATCTATTAATAGCACTACCTAAAGCATTTCTGTTGTGCTGCCTACTGAGAGAAACTTCAGCCCCAGGGTTTACTTTTTCCTTGCAGATCTCAAAGAGGATGAAACTTTAGACACGGGAAGAAACAAAACCCCCTTTTTGCTGTGACTTCTCCACCTGCAGCTCCCACTGTGAGCTCCTAGAACTGCTGTGGTCCAGCCAATCTACTCGAGGTCACCCATGAAGTCAGGGACAGCAGCTGAGGATCAGCTCTCAAGCTGTGCCTTTTTTTACAGCTCTGCCTTTAATTAACTGTGTGTACTCAGGTGCTGGGAAAGATGGGTAAAGATCAGCAGATAATCCTCCCAAGGAAAATATTTTCTACTGAAGTTGCTGTAATAAAGGGGGAAGGCAGGAGAGATCTGGAAAGCGGAGAACACGTTCTTTTAGAGGGCTGAAAAGCAGAGCACACACCTTTGGGAGGACTGCACAAAGAACAACAGTGCTGGCACGACACGGGGGGGGGTTGAACCACGTGGAAAAAAGGGATTTACAGAGTTGTGGAACCATTAAGGTTGGAGAAGAGCTCGGAGATCACCATGCCTGAGACCACAACCTGCAGTTCAAGAGCTGCCCCCCAGTTTTCCAAGCAGCTCCACAGGCCTCCTGCAGTGGTGTGGAGATAAAGCCGGGAGCACTTTCACTCCTTCCGCCACAATCCAGGGCTGGCCCCGAACGAGCCCAGGCCCCGCTGGCACCGGCCCAGCCGCTCTTGTGGAAAGGCCCCCAGCCCTGGGCAGGAAAAGGAAGTCGGCACTAAATCCATGGATATCAAAGGAAGTGAGTGGAAAAAACACAAGTGCTGCCAGAATGCTTAGCAACTTTTTTTTTTTTGTTGTTGGTTTTCTTC